ATCTATGGCCTTCAAAAAGTTGACGACTCTACATGTTTCGACGTTGATTTGGGCTATTAAGTCTTTAGTATTACGAAACATAACTACATTATTAGAATTCTTGAATGTATAAAACTCGTTTGAAGTTATCTTAGCTGTAACAGTATTTACCTGTGTGACAGCGTGAATTTCAAGTATTTTTCTAATTAAATACATATTTTGAATAATTTTGTCTTCGAGTATAGTAATGGTAAACTCGTGGTTAAGAACATTGCTACGTCAGTAGCGTGTTAGATATGAAAACAACGACCTTGGCATTGAATGTAAACAAGGAAAACATAGAACTATATGAATTTTCCTCCCATTTTCTCCAACAGTCATGGACAAACATAGTTGTTATCAAACTTTTAATATATGCGCAAAGTTACCTATAGTTAATATATACGTGAAATATATACTAGGCTCAACCATGGCGAACCTAAAGTACATAAAGTTGAGGCTAATAATCTCTAAACCGTTACGTCAACCTGAACTCTTATCAATTGGCAGACTATTTTACTTTGCCACAGATAAACATGTATTTGTATCTGACTTTACTGGCACACTTGATTGGATAGTTATCTAAAAATCCCGAAACATCTTAGTTTGGTGTGGTATATTAAACATCCATTTGTGTATCAGTTTGTACGAAGTATTCAATACCTTGATTCACCATTAAGATGAACGATACACTCGTTAATTAAGTAGTTGTGGTGTTTGCATGGCTTAATACAAATCAATTCAGGTTATTTTTACTTTATTCAGAAGGCCCGCGAAAAAAATGCCATAAGCTAACAATACAATCATAGGCGTCCACAGAGATATTTTCAAGGGGCTCAAAACATAAATGTAGGGGATCAGCTTTTACAGTGTAAGTCAACAGACTAAAAGAATATATGTTATGTGTGCATAAACGCAAACACAAATTTACAGTTTTAATAAAAAAAAATAGTCAAACATTTAGTTTAACGACAATGTTAAGTTTACATCATTATAAGTGCAATTTTTTGTGAAATGCTCCCTCTTGCCCCTTCCTGCGGGCGCTCACGAATATAGAACGTACGTTTTAATATTTACCTTATGTATTCAAAGTTTAAAATTCTCAATTTCTAGTACGAGAAACTTATTTGGGGTTTTAGTAATTTTTGTGAAGTATATATAAACCACAAAACAGCTATTTTGGACGTAGTATCCACCAGGAAAAGTTTACAAAAAGCGGAAATTAGTATCCTGTTGTGTGATACTTTTTGAACGTAGTATCCACCAGGAAAGATTTACAAAAAGGCGGAAATTAGTATCCCGTTTCTCTGTCTGTTAAGAAGTGGAGAAGAGCATCGTTTGTGAAGTTTGAGTCTTTGTTACGACTAAAAAAAATAATAATAAGCATTCAAACTTTAATCTAAAAATATATATTAGCTACATTACATTTTTATTATCTGAGATAAGCCTAACGATTTCATTGCGTAGGCCTAACAGTACAATTTACTACAAATGTCTTTCTAAAAAAAGCTCGGAATATACGAAGTTTAAACATTTTCTACATTGTTCTTGTAAATTATTGACAGCCATTGTATTATAAAATGACGTTCTCACTGTTATTTAAAGTTCTTGATATAACAACAGTATATTTTAACCCCACACCCGCAAGTCTTGTTCCGAAAATAGCTATTTCAGTTCGTTATAAAGATATTCATTCTGAAAATTGCGCAGTCGATGAGGCAACATGAGTGTTAACAAAAGAAGCATAACCTTGTTTAAGAAAATACCTGTACTAAAATTAATTTGTATAAAATGTTTAAGTGCATTGTTC